AAAAACAAACAAACAAAGATATAAATATTGATAAAAAGTAACTATTAATTTGATAAACACTGGTATATTTTTTATATATGATTGAATAACCATAAGTTTTGGGGAGAGAGAGTAATGGCGAACGTGGGATAACTTTGAACATAATCAAAACAGCATAATAGAAAAACATATTTGACAGTTTCCTTTTACCTGCGAAGAAGGAATCCCATACGTAGTTTCAAACGTGCAGTAGCGCGATGATTCTGCGGGTGTTGTTGACGATCATTTGATCCTAACTTTTTCTGATAATTTTAAGCAACTTTTTTTTGAGTAACATTCCTGCTGTAGCTACTATGGGTATAAAACCACTCCTTTTATTGTTGTTGTTACATAGTATAACTTTTGCATCTAATTATTTTGGAATAACTCCACGTACGTAGGGTAATTCCGAAAACATATATATATATATATATATATATATATATATATATATATATATATATATATATATATATATATATATATATATATACAGGGCTGCCGAGAGCTGTCACGCCGCCTGAGACAGTAATCCTGATTGGCGCCCTTATTTATCAAATTTTCCCTATATTATATATGAAGGACCTTTTTCTTTTTTTTTTTTTTAGGTACCTACATTTGTATTGATAATTCAGTTGACGTGTTTATGCATATTAAAAAGTTATTTATATTGTTAATTAAAATTAAATAAAGGATAAATATAAGTTTTAAACAAAATGAATTTACAAAAGGTTTTTCCCTAAAACCAGGCTAATGCTCTTTGAGATTTTGCGTTTCATATCCGAAATCCGATATCCGAAATCCGAAATCCGAAATCCGATATCCGAAAGGATATATAATTATTATTAAATAAGAGATGACATACCTAGCTTCCATAACTCGTTTTACAAGTCATATTTTTCTAGTAAAATAATACTATACTTATAAATATTGTTTTCAATGTTTATTATTTTCATTTAGTTTTTTTAATTTTATTTACTGTTTTTATGGTAATTTATTATTGTTATAGTTATATATATATATATATATATATATATATATATATATATATATATATATATATATATATATATATATATATATATATATATATATATATATATATATATATATATATAAATGTTTCTTATAAATATATAACTTATTACTCTTAATTATAACAAAATTAGTTATAAAACAAAACTTTTTTATTCCAGATATTTTGATATCGCATTTTAGTCAAGTAGTACACCTAGAAATTTTAATGAGACCTCTTTTTCTATCTTGTTACCGTCAATGCAAAGGTTTGGAAAAGCTAATAGGGTTTCGTTTCGTTAATGATAGTATTGGTATTAACTTACCGCATGCCGCATATCAATTTAACTCCATTAAACTATAATAAATAAAGGACGCAGAAGGCATAATTTTTATCATGATATATCATGATGCTATAACAAACAGCACAATTTTTATTTTGTTTTTTGTTTAAATGTTTAAGCTTTGAAAATAAAAATGAAACAATGAAGTAGCACTAATTGTGCTAAACTATTTTTTCAATTTTTTTTCAATTTTTTTTCATTATTTTACAATTCAAGTTCGTAGTATAACAAATAAAATTAAAAACGAATTTTAAATGCTTTTATATGTTATTAGCACAAGTTTTTTCATTTTTTTCTGATATTACTATTTCATTTTGTTAACATTCGGCTGGAAGCGTGTGTAAAAAAAACAGGTGGGACTCAAACCCTAAACATTGCGTTTGCGAAGTCAACGCCTTATCCAAATAAGCAAGACTAATAAATGCGTATAAGTACGGAACAAATACTACACTTATTTTAAAAAATATTTTTCTTCTTTCTATATAAAAAGTAAACTTAATTAAAATTAACTAAATTAATTGATTTAATGCAAAATTAACTATTTTATATTGTATTGTCGTCAAACAAGAGTATGTCTGCAAAGTTTGAAGACAATATGCAAGATTTGATGCTCACAGACAGATAGAGACAAGGAGTTAATAAAAGCATTGGGAAAAACTTATATACATTTAAAAATAAACAAATTATATATATGTGAACAAAAAGAAATTTAACGTATAAAAGTTAAATATTAAACATTTTCAAAAAATTTAAATTAATTGAGAAAAAAAAAGTGAGAAGCTCGCAAAAAACTTAGGGTCTTATGCGAGTATCTTTGGGTCTTATGCTTTGTATCAAGGGCGGATCTATAGGGAGGGGGTGTGATAGGGACGATTGCCACCCCTTAGATTTAATAAAAAATTTATTTTTGTGTTTTTATAAATTTAACACAACATTTTGTTTGAAAAAATGAAAATAAACTTAAATAGAGGGTTTAAAATTTTTTTGAAATTTTAATAAAATTGAAAAATGAGAATTTTCGCACCTTAAAATTGCCTTCTCCTTTCTCCCCCACACCCTTACCTAGGATCCACCAAACAAAACAAAAAAAAAAATTGCCCGCTCCCCCCCCCCCCCCATCCCTCGTAACTAGATGGTCTGAATCCGCCCCTGTTTTGTATATTATAGACTTAATGGTTTCGATATTAATTTTTTTATATATCTGTACCATTAGTTTGTTATTTTGGAATGATTACTTGCTACATTACAATGCATTGTAGTTGTAAATATATATGTATTTGAAAAAAAAACTAATAATAAAGTTCATAAAATTTGGAGTAATAACATAAAAAATAGAAGCATATTAAACGAAACCAGTTTAAATACTATTCCTTCAATTATTGCTTTATAAGCTATACGAATACAATATGGAGTAGCACTCCCAAAACAAAACTTAATCTCTTTATTGTTTTTTATTTTAAGCACAAACGCGCAACTTTCACAATAAATTTTGAGAGCCGTTTTTACTTCTTAAAGAAATGAATGCAATGCATATTTATCAACTAAACGAATAAAACATTTTATTTTTTTGTGTGTTAAAAATAAATTTGATTGGCTTACTGATAACTATTATAATGTCTATTTTTATTTAAATAAATATAATCAGTTTGTTAATTCTTATTGTGGGCTGTATCTCGGCTATAAATTAATTATACCTAATATTAATTTTTTTATAAAATTTACCTATAGTTTCTATAAAAAGAAAGTTATTTTAAGCTTTTTATTGAAAACATTTTTATCTACTTTTTATTATTGCTACGGTATAAAGAAAGAAAAAAATACTATTACTACCCAGGCATGATTGCTTATTCATGCCTGAGTGAAAGATAAATTTTAGCCATTTGCTGAGATAGTTAAAAATATAGAGAGAAAAAGGGGAACCTTTGTTCCTAATATTAAAGTTGTTTTTGTAAATTTAGTTGATTCTTTATTAATTGACAACATATTAATTAAACAATACTTTAGATATCAAATATCACTGCGATTAAAAAATAAGCATGGTCCTAAAAGATAATCTTTAAATACAGTGTCTTAATCCGTCGTAATCACAAAATATGGTTTGTTATCAAATAATTATGCTAAATGTTTAGTTTCTGTGTAATGTACTGTGTTAATGTGTATTGCTATCAGCTTGTGAAAAATAAAGTATGCATAATCATAATTAAGATTAAAATCTGTCATTAATGAAACTCTCAAGACTTCTTGTCATCAGAATTTTCAAGACATAACAAAATTCCATTTCACTTATTACCGTTTTGCTAATGACAAATATACTATTTAATTTTAGCATAAGCGTTACCGCAATTCGATAAATTTCGGCAATGCGGTGAATTGCTATAGTTAGATAAGAAATCGGGGGCGCTTAGTTACAAATGCGATATTTAGTTAGGTAATTGCGATGCTGTCTTTTTTATGGAGCGAGTCGTTAGACGGTTTATTGTGAGTTAATTTTTGTGGAAAAGTTGAGTCCGATTTAATGCGATTTTTTATCGCTTTTTATCACATATTCGAAAAAAGTCGCTTTTCTTCTAACCGCTATTGCGGTAACGCCAGTGCTCAATTTAATTACAGTTATTCCCGAGTGGCAAAAATAACCCGATCTGAAAAACTGCGGCTATTATTAAAGTTATATATTATATCATTTTTGAAAGAGAGCGTTTCAGAATTGTCCTCAAATAAGTATACTGTACTAAAATATATGTATGCATATATATTCAATATACTAGCTGTAACCAATAGGTTGCTCAGCTCCTAGATTAAACTTGAATTTTGTGCAATGAATTGAAGCGCTAGGACAACGTTTATAATTAAAAAGTCAACACTATTACAACTTCATTTTTAAAAATAAAAAATATAAACACACTTTTAAAATATAAAAATATAAACACACGTGTTGTTTTATAGTAATAAAGTAAAACAAGCCCCAAACTAATAGTACATTTTAACTGATTGAAATCTATAAATGAAAATATTATTTTATAAAAAATATTTTTTTTTTTTTTAAATATTATATATTCAAAAAAAAGATCAAGATTACTACTTTTTCAAAGTACAATTGACATCAGGATCATCTTTTATTGATGAAATCAGGAATGCTTTTATTGATGAAATCGATTCTGGGAAAAGTCTAGAAAAGTAGTTGAAAACTTGAAGTGTTATACACACTTTATCAAAAAAAAAAAAAATATATATATATATATATATATATATATATATATATATATTTTGTAAACATCATCAGACAACTTTGGTAGATAAGTTAAAGTATTGCTATGTTATTTTTTTTCATTTTGTTTTTTTGCTTTATTAAAATAGAAATATATGCTACTTTGCGAGTAAAAGTTACTTTTTGGTTGCTTTTTGCTAAATTACTAATTTTTTTTCAATTTAAGAAGTGTGAACTTTATATATCATAAATATCTATTAACTGCTGATGGAAAGGTTATCATTATATTTTTGGAAAGTGAAATATATATATATATATATATATATATATATATATATATATATATATATATATATATATATATATATATATATATATATATATATATATATATATATATACCTTTTCATTTAAGATAAATGCTGAATAACAGTTTGTGTCAAGTAAATGCAGAATGGAAAACATCAATTATTGATATAGTTTTTTCATCTCTTGGAATTTTTATTTGTGGCATCGGCTTATATATTTTAATTAAAGTAAAGAAAACAAAAATTGACAAAACACAATGGTATATAATTACGAATCTTTGTATACTTGATGTTTTATCATGCATAACTCTTACAGTTAATTCATCTTTATACGTTTCAAATGAAAACTACGTCGAGATTATTTCGCAAGCATTTGCAGATATCTTTATGCTTGGTTACTACGGAGCGACATTATGGTTGGTATTTGACCGATACTTGCACATTGTACTAAATATAAAGTACGTCATTTATTGGTCAAAAAGAAAAACAATAACGTTTACGCTCGTATTATGGATTTTTTGTATACTTCTGGGAAGTTTATTACAAATTTATTGTGAAAAAGCTACATACATTTTGTTGATAATTTTTGACACCATCATAGTTTTATTTTCAATATTTGTTTACGCGACTGCTTTAAAAATATATTATGACAATAAACAAATTAGAGGTCCGCGTAAACAACCGAGAAATGTTTTAAAAGGAATGTTAGTTGCATCTTTAATATTATCTTCATATTTAATACTTATGGTAATCCCTGATATTATAATTATAACTACATTTGATAGCATTAATTATTGGAGTGTTTCCAAGTTTTCATATTTAAACATATGCTATATTGTGGCTATGTGGGTTGACGCATTAGTATACGTCGTTGTTTGTCCTCAATCTCTTATTTTTCTAAGAAATAGACATTTGAGTTTTCAAAGGAGCAACAATAAAGATAAAGAAAATCCAAAAAATATTTCTGTGATTACATCTTCTATATAAGTTTATATGATACAGAGAAAAAAATGAAATCATTTGAAAGCATGTTTGATGTATGCTCAAATGTTAAGCACTACTGTTTTATTTTAATAATGTTTTAAAATAAATTTTAGATGTTTGATATTGCTTTTTAGTAAATTTGCAAAAAAAATTTTAAAATTTGCGAATTAAGAATTTTACTGTTTTTTTACTTTGTTGTTTGTGTGTCTTATAAATTACTTTTCACTTTGTCTTTCCTTATAGGTTTTGGCAAGCATTTTTGCAAATTATGAAAACTATTTATAAAAGTACGAGAGTCATATTTGATTCCTCTCACTCTCTCTTTTTTTTGGTTTACGTAAAATATTTTGTTTGGTTTACATAAAACATGTTTACAAATTTGAATCCAATAAGCAGCTTCCTAATAAAATATACTGATGAGTTGCCGGAGAACTAAGAATAATGTTAAAGATCAAGAAAACCGTTTACAAAAGGCTTAAAAAAACTGCAAGTTATATGAACCAAGAAAATACGAAGATGGCATTGAGTGTCAAATTATTGGTGTATGAGAAAAGAAACTAGAGGAATAAAAATTTTTAGATCATGAAAGGACAGATAGAGTAAAAGAATATAATTGTGCTGAATGACGAGTAAAGCGAGAAAGTGTTTTGATTGATGGAATTAAAGATGATAAAAAGGTACTATCATAGTGGCTGCTTTTTGAAGCAGCCACTATGATAGTACCTTTTAAAAAAAAGAAAGTGATGTAACCTTACGAAGAGATTCAAACTTAGTAGCTAAAGCAAGTTTAATACATTTAAAATACGTTTTTTTGAATTTGATGTAGAAATATCAAATACTGTTAAAAAGTTTTTGATGCCGATTTTAATACTGCGGTTCGAAAGAAATAATTTAATAATTTCTACCTCTATCTAATGCACGATAAAATCTTTTTGTGATAGTTAGATGTAAAATAAGAGAACCAAATTTCGTATTGATTGTCAGAGAGTGATTGTTAGACTCAAGAAGAGATATTAGCTTTTTGTTCATTAAAAATTTGACAAAAAGGTAAATTTATTTAAGAGTGAGATTTTCGTGAGCTTAGTGTTCGTATTGCAAAAAAGTTCATTTTTGAAATTGAGCACCAGCTAGGGTCAAGACGGAAATCAAGTACCGGAGGAAAGCCATGAAAACGAGTGACGAGGTAACAATGGGTTTGTATAATCAAACATAATTGTTATTAACTTTGAAAGGTTATTAACATAAATTGAAAATAGTATGTGCTCTATTATAAATCCTTATAACACTTAAATAGTTTATTTAGAAAAAAAGGTGAATATGATCTTTCGGCATCTTTAATAGCTTTTAAGTAGCATATGTGATCAAAGTATTTAAGTTTTTTAAGTATTTCATAATTAACAGTGTCAAAAGTTGGGGTGGGGAATAACGTATCTATTTTTTTCCAACTAAGGCCTAGAAAAATTGTTTTGCTGAATATGATCTAAAAACAATAATAAAAAAAAAAGGTTCTCATTTGCTGACATTTGCCGATTGCTCACTATAGATCCAATTTTGCCGACGTCAGTGTTCAATTTGCCGACTTATAAATTTCGTAGAGGGGTTAGGTACCCCTCTACGAAATTTATTAGTCTCCCTAGAGAGAATCTGCAGTAGTGCTTTATTTTTATTAACCTTTATTATTGTTTATAATTCTCCTTTGTTTGTATAATACAAATACAACTGCTTACTGAAATTATATTTCATAGCGTAAAGCCAAATCATCATAAAATACAAGGAAACAGACGTTATGTAGAAAGTTTAAGTTTTTATAAAAACTACACGTGCGCAACTGTGTACTTTTTGTACTGAAATTGGTTTAAATTTGGCAAGAGATCGGCAAGATTGGCAATATCAACACAGTGTTTCCAATTGCAAAACGATCTTGTTAAATCATTTGTACACGAGCCGCATCACTGGCACGGTGGTGCCGATCATAATCCAATGATAATCATGTATGGACCATGCATAAAGAGCTTGCTAGGTAGTTTCAAGCATAGTGATAAGAAAACTACTTTAAAGACATGTTTGTGCAAACTCTCTAAAGTAGATTTTTCAGCAATTCGCTTAAAACTAGCAATGGCAACATAAACAATTATTTTTTGGTCAAAAACCACTAACACCTATACATATATTTGAAAAAATAATTAGATCAGTAAGTTAAATCGATGTAAACCTATTTTCACTTACCATGGTACAAAATTAATTATTTTGCTTTGATGAAAATAAGTTTATAATACTGGACGTATTAAATCCATGTGTATTAAAAAACTGCGCAAAAGCTTTTGCAATACTTCTTGCATTCATTTTTAAAACTTGGATGTCCTAGATCTTTGCGTAAATGAAATGTTACGTCTACCTTCATGAAGGGAAACTAGCTCAAGGCATGTTTCTACAGAATGGTGTCGCTCACCTCAATACAGTGCATTGTAATGGAGAGAATTACCAAAGAAAGGATTATGAAAAACTGTGAACTACACAATTTAGCTTTGAAATCTTAATACGGGTTTGTACATCATTAAGGCTACCTTACAAACCTGATTAAATCCTGCGACATTACAGAGACAGCTTTTTACCTATATATGGAGTATATAGGTAATTATATTTGTAAAAAATAAAGTTATACTAGCCATTATATTAGCCAACGTTATTATAACTTTGTAACTCGATGAAAAAAAAATTACGTTAGTTTAGCCAACGTTATTAATTATTAACGTTGTAATTCTGGTGAAAAATAACGTTAGTGAAACCAAAGTTAAGATTTAGTCGGTCGACGTTGTCCAGTATAACCCAACATTAATTCAACGTTGCATTGAGGTTGTGTGCCTACAGTTATCTTAAAAATGGAACCTATTTTATCTCATTAAAATCTAATTTATTGCTATCTCAAATTAAGAAAGGTTGTACATTTTATACATAATATAGCCATAAATTTTGATTGCTAAAATAATAACCTATTATGTTTAAAATTAATTGATAAATATAAATTTTGTTAAGAATAGTAAAAAAAAAAAAAATTATAAGCTTGATAGTCATTTATTTGGGATAGGGAGGACAAAAGTCTTAGAGCTTTTTTGTTCTCAGCATGACATTATAAAACAACAGATGCAACTTTTAAATCCCCTAACATTTTTTGATAATATTTATTTTTCCAAAATAAGTTTTAATATAGTTTTTTTTTTCTTCGCCCTTAAAAATGCGCCGTGCGTGTAACGAAAAACATTCGACATTTAAACGCGTCATCCTTTAATTTTGCAATTTTTTTATGGATTTCAGAGGTTTAGTTCGATGTTTAGAAAATATTTTAAAATGCAAAATCTTTCAACTTGCAACATATACTCAACAAAAACAACAACAAAAACACTCGTTTTTGAACAAACTCTTTTACAGGTATGTATAAATTAGAATGCTCATTCAACCAAGGTTATATTGGATGGAAAAAATAATCTTGGATTTATCAACATTAGAAAGATTTGCGTAAACGTAAATAGAAAAACCTGGCTAAAGCAAAACATTCAAAAGAATTGTTACGTTAGAATTAAAAAGAATAATAAAAACAATTTCAACCAGAAAGTAAAAAAAGAGCATCACAAATGCAGCATAAAAATGACGTTTTGAATAGGGCGACAGTAATTTCGTAGATTGTTTTGGAAACCAAAGTTTTTACGTGAAAAGAAACTACTACACTTTAAGGTTATTTTCTTTGTTTTTATAACGGTTTAAAATAGTACTATGTGATAACTCTATAATCCCTTGAAAATATTGTTAAATATTATACAAATAAAAAATTTTCTCACAAAATGCAGTTGCTTTTTTAAATATATTATTAGCTTTTAGAAAATGTCAAAATATAAAGTTTAAAAAAGTTTTTATTTGAATCTTTTAAAACCATTGCATTGAAGTACTATAAAACGCTTTGATTACGGATGGTTGTTTTTAGAATAAAAAAAAGTTATTCAAGTTATGACTTTTATTTTGTCATGGTAATTTTTACTGATGAGTCTTGAAAACTTTGTCAACGTAATGGGGATAAATGTAATAAAAGCAATTGAAAAAATACAAAATGTTAAAAGAGGAAAACGTTTATATATTGATCCAGACGAATACATTAACAAAAGTTGGTGGAAAAAAAACTATGCTGGAAATCATGCTTGCCATATTTCGGAGGATGCAGTTTTAAATACCTCACAGCGATGGAAAAAGAGTTCTAAATCATATTTTAAAATACTAAATTTTCACGCTTATAACGGAGTGTGTAACCAATTTTATAAACCAAATAAATTATCAAATAATTGGAGTATTAACTTAATCAAAAATTCTGAAATAGCTAATCCGCGGAACGTTTGGTCTACGCTACCATCAAGAAGGCAGCGTTGGTGTGGAACTCAAATGTTTTTATCGAGTAAAATTAATACATATAATAATGCCTTAAAAGTAGTTACTCGGAATCAAAATGACGTATTAATAAAAGGAATAGAAAAAGAAGACGTTTGCTACGAGTTTGAGGACGAATATTTTCATTACTGCGATTCGGAAAATGAAATAGATTTTTTAAAACCTCTTTATGTGACATTTTATCAAAAATCATTTAGGTAGTTTTATATAAATAAAATTATGAATACTTATTTATACATTTATAATAACACTTTTATATAAACCTTATTTACAGATTTTATATTAATTTTTTTTTTTATTATATATATTTTTTTAAATATAATTTTTAAATTCATAGTTTATATTTTGGAACAATTATATTTAATTTTTTTCCATAAAATCATGTATCTAAAACTTTTATATACTGTAAATAATATACTGTTATACTAATGATTTACTATCTAATGATTTATTTACGTTTTTTGTCCACTGTTGAAGCCAATTTTTGAAGCCATTTTTTTCAGAAACAAAATGCAAATCTATCCAATACAATGACTGGATTTGGACATTGTACTATGTACAAACATTGCATT